GACGTATTTTTTTCGTATTTTTCGGCCTCTAAGGGCGGCCGCCAGGCCCTGGGACCGCCAAACAACGACTCAAAATAAAAAACTGGTCCTGGAGAAAGGGTCGAGTCTTCCGGGGACCCCACATTGAAACGTCACGGCGTCGGATCTCTTGGAAGCCGAGCTGAAGATTCCAATCTGGACGACCCGAGAGCCTCCAAGGTGATTCTGGGGCCCACTGGGAAGAGCATTCCATATCGCCCTCACCGGATGGGAACGACTGCCCACTGAGGTCACGTGGAGGCTCATAGTCGTGGCGCCACGGATGCTGCTCCGACTGAGAGGGAGCGTTGGAGAAGAGGGCAAAATGAACTTTCACGATCGAATGCGACGCTTCTTGCGAGGAGGTTGGGAAAGCCTCCTATGAAAGGCCACGGTAGGACGAATAACCGACGACATAATCATCGAATCCAACACGCTGCGCCGACAAATGCAGCAGCGAAACGACGCGAACAAGCGGAAACTAAAATTCGTCTCCCGGAGGTTTCTCGGGATCGTGTCCTTCTGACCTCCAACAGGCTCGCCCCAGGCACCCAAACCACACGCGACGAGATGAACGCAACTCGTCGAGTAGACCCCGAACCCGTCACGCCCGAAGCCTGGTTCTGCCGCCCCAACCAACCCCTTGATTTGGACCCTGTTTTTCTGACCGACGCTTTCCGCAATGCAGGGAAGGGATCAAAAACTGATCTCGACGGCATGCGTTACGAATACCTCAGAGCTTTGAAGGACGACGACTCTGGGTTAGGACAATTCTGTCAAATGGCTCAGGCATTCGTCCGTGCAAATATCCCACGCGAAATTGCTGTGGCGTTGCCTTTCGGCCGGATGACAGCGCTCAAAAAGGATTCTGGGAAAGTACGGGGTATCGTTGCTGGATTTGTCTTAAGACGTGTGATATGCGATCGGTAACCAAATATTCTTATACTAAACTTATGTAGGCTTCGGCACCAAACGCAGGCTGGTACGGAAGCGGTGGCACAAATCATACGACATGCGACGGACAACAACTCAGACACAGTAGTGGTTAGATTAGATTGGGTGGGGGCTTTTGATTATGAGAAGCGGGCATCCTTTTCATTCAAATTACGGCGGGATTCAACGTTGGAGTTGCTTTTACCATTACCTGTATTTCATATGGTTACGAATCGCAGTTTTTGTGGACCGACGAGGAGAAGAACACGCATGTGGTTACGCAAGCTGACGGGGGAGAACAAGGGTGGCCCCTGATGCCAGCTTGCTACGCCCTTGCTCAACACAACTGCCTGATTGTGGCGGTCGTGCCCCTCCTCCCTAACGAGCAAATTTAGTTTTCTGGAGAACTTGTACTTCAACACACGCAAAGCCCGGGCACGAGCAGCATTCGAGGAAGTCGCTGGAGCCGTCGAACGACACGCTGGATTCAGAATCCATCTGGGCAAATTGCAGTGTTGGTGTCAGGGAAGGGGGCCGCACCGCCAAACATAGCTGAGCTTGGGGATATAATGTCGACGGCAGACAACGAACACAACACAGATGGCATGGTTATCTTCAGAACATCGCTGGGGAGCTTGGAATCCGTTTAGGCTTTTGTCCAAGAACGCTTGCAGAAAGAACAACGCTTACTCGATGAGATCACCCTCCTACGAGATCCACAAAAACAATTGGTCGTACTATCAATGCCGGGGGTCCCCAAAGTCAACCACACAATCCGGACTCTTCGCTTGGCAGATCGCCAGTTTGCCGGGCCGACGCGGTGGCTTCGGCTGAAGGTCCGCACAAAAAGCTTCGGAACGGAGCGTATTGGGCATCTTGGATCGCAACGCTGCCGGTCATGCACACGACTGCCCCTGCAAAGGCGGCACGATTTTGCGGGAGCTGGAGCAGGGGCACGGTCCACACACATACACACCATGTCTACAGATTTTGGTGGTGGCGCGGATGCGTTTGATGGAAAAAGGGGCGAATGGTTTACCGACGTGGGGCGATGCACTCGATGAGCCCCGACCACCGCACAAGGGTGATGATCTGTACACGGCTGACTTCGACCGTGGATGATGTGTTGCATGTCTTTTTATCGAAACCCGCTTTCTCGAACACGTGGTTCAGCCATGCTGCGGCGAACTCGGCCGAGCTTCATTATTATCCCAACGGGGCGGGCCAGGGAGCGCGTGATGAAGGGCCATCCCCTCCGATCCCGCCTCCACCGTGCGGTCTCTCTGTTTCCAGATCGCAGTTCGCAGACGTTTGCGTTGGGAGCGTCCGCTTCCAGGGTGTGCGCGTGTGCTGCAAGCCATGTCGGGTACCACTGGATCAATGCGGTGACCTCGCGGCGGCACGCCACGGGTATGGGAGTCTGGCGAGACGTTCCGTTCAGTTGGAGAAAAAAGTGGATGCGCCTCCTATGGGAAGCAGAGGCACGGGTTCGCGAGCATGTCCTGTTGGTCGACATGGGCCTTGCGGGCATGAATCCCGCGGATGGCCAGAAGCTCGAACTCGTAGCGACATGGCTGCCTATCGGCCATGGCGTGCCGCTCGCCGTCGCCGTTGCGGTGGTCTCGCCGTGTCATTTCACGCGGACGGTGCTATCTGGCAGAACGCTGGCACGGTGCCTGGCGTATCCTTCGACCGAGCCTGGCGGCCTAAGTGTTCTGCACACTCAGACCTGGTGTACATCTCGATTGGGTCTATGGTAGTCGCCGCCATTGCGGCCGCGTGGATCGCGCCATCCGCTTGGCACGCCTCAGCAATGAGCTCCTTCACGCGATCGTCGGACGCCATGCCGTGAGGAGGTCCCCGACAACAAGCTGCTCTGGCCTCGACCGGCCGTGAAGGTTCTGAACCCGCATGGCAACGGACACCGTGACTGCTCTCGGGCACGAGCCCCGGCTGTGGCGCGAACTCGAAACACAAACGAGCCTGCTTGCTCGCGCGAGCTGCGGCAGCTCGGGCAAGAACCATATGCCAGCGGCATCCCAGCCTCTCGTGCTGCCCGGCCGTGGAGACGCGGCGCTGGACCACGGTGCGCTCGCGGTGGCCAGGCGAGACGACAGACCATCCTAGCTATACTACGCTGGTGGGGGAGTGTAATGTTGGCTCCTGTGCGAGGCAGACGGCGGTGTGCCGCTGGAGGTGGACGTGTGGCTTGACGGCCACGCGTGAACCATGCCCCCTCTCCCCCCCTTCCTCGTCCTCCTCGTCCTCCTCCTCCTCCTCCTCCTCCTCCTCCTCTGTGGCTGCTTAACCTGCCACTGGCCGACTCGATGTATGCGTGTTCCGTGGCTGGACTGCCGTGGCACTGTGTCATAAACGCGCGGGTGGTAGGAACAAAAAAAATGCCTATACAAATGGCCCGAGCTTTTGAAGCGGATTGCCCAAAATGCCGAGCTAACTGGTCGCAACAATTGAAACAAAGGACCCCTGGTCGGAACGGGATGGCCCCAAATACCGAAACGGGTCGCCTCGGACACCAAGCATCTTGTTTAATGTACTGAACTTGGTGGCCCTAAATACCGAAACAGAAGGCCCCAAACACTGGAACGGATGGTCTCGAGTACCGAAACGGACGGCTTCAAGTATCGAAACGGATGGCTTCCTGTACCAAAGCGGATGGCCTCAAGCACTAAGTGGATGGCCTCAAGTACCGAAGCGGATGGCTTGAAATACCGAAGCGGATGCATGCAAATACCGAGCCAAATGGCTACACATACCGAAACGGATGCTGTCAGGTACCGAGGCGTGTGGGTTCAGGTGCCGAAGCGGATGTGCGTATATTGCAAAACACCGAAACCGATGTTCCGAGGTAGCGAAACGGATGGCCAGGTACCGAAAAAGATGCTTCTAATAATGTGAGAGCACCATGCCGAAAACGTGTTGCGCGACTTGCCGCCTCATGTCGAGGACCAAGATGCTAGTAAAACATGTGGTTTCCACAACCCAATTTCCGGATGACCATCCCATGGGTTGGTCACCTGTGAGATCCGTTGCCGTCAGAGTGCCAGACGGAAAACGCGTTGGGTGGTAATGTGTCGCCTGATGTCAACGCCCAGAACGCACATGAAACCAATGCTTCTCACAACCAATTTTTTGGGTCGCCCACCCGTGGGTGGGTCACCTGTGATTTCATGTGATGTGAGAGCGACATGAAGAAACGTGCTGGACGACAATGTGTCGCCTCATGTCGAGGCCAGAATGCAAGTGAACGAATTGGTTCCACCACCCAAGTTTCGGGTGAAAGCGCTGGTTGATGACAGCATGGCTGCACCATGGGAGCAGCTTCGGCCTGCATCCCAAGTTCCAAGTCCACACGGCAAGGAATGGCTCAATGGGGCAGGTCCCGTGTCGCTCGAGACAGCCTGGTGCGCCTGTCTGCTCGCTCGAGCCCGCAGCAATGCTCTTTCGTTCCGACCAAAATCCACTCGGGGGCGGCCACGAGGGGGGCGTCCAAGAGGGGGGGGGCCGCAAATCATGGCTGACTGGCGGCATGTGCGCGGCCCAGGTGGTGGGGGGGGGAGGGATGTAGTGAAAAAAAACGGGGCGCCGTGAAATCTGAGGAGACAACATGACCCACGCCATGATGTCTCCCTCCCAATAATCATCCCCCCCCCCCCCTTTGGGCGCCCCCGAAAAAAATCCACTCAACCCCGTCCCTTGGCCCCCCAAACCGGGACAGCAGACCTATCGGCTGCTTTGCTCCTGGCGCGCCAGGCGGGGACGACGAGGGGGGCGTACCCGAGTGCCAGACCGGCGGCAGACGAGGCCAAAGCGCGGACGAGCATGATTGCCGGACGGTGGGGATCGACCCAAACAATGTTTTTCGCTTTCGTGTTGCTTTTGTCTCCCCTATTTTTTTGTCTTCCGTCCGCTTTTGCCGCAAAAAGAGGTCGACACCACGACGGCCCACGACAGGTCGCCCAAACACCGCTAATGGGTCGAGCCCTGCCGGACGGCCAGCCGTGGACTCCGCTTTTCCCCTCTGCCGTCCGCTACCGCGTCGACAACCTCAGCTCGAACGGGACCTTCTGCTTCAGCATCCTCATCCCGCCCCCGGAGCTGACGGGCAAATCGAGCACCTGCGCTCTGCCCCGCTCGCGGCATCGTGGTCCCGCGAGTCAGCCGCCCCGCACCCCCCTCGCGCCCGACCCGAGTGGTCCTCGCCGTCTGGTCTTCGAGCCACAGTGTGGGCCCGTGGCGGTCGGTCGGGACCATCCAGGCCACCCCTGAACGCTCTCGGCGAAGCGCAGCTGCTGGACAGCATCCCGAGGCTGGAAAAATGTGGAGAGCCGCGGAGAAGCTGCCACCTGTCGTGTCCTCTTCCCCACCCCTCCCGATCCCGGCCTGGCGTCCCATACTATTGTCTCCCCGAAGTTGGGGGTGGGTGGGTGGAATGACTGCGCGAACAATGGACTTGAACAACTTCTACTGCTGTAACTTGACTTGCACCACATAGCGGCGCCCGCAGTGGCCGCACCTCCGTCGTTGTCAGCATCGTCATTCACTTCGCTACTGTCATCGTGTTTACGATTGTCGACGTTGCCATGATACCGCGCCCGTCCAAGTCGCCGATTCGTAGTGAAGTGCCCGCAAGAATGTAATCAACGGTCAACACCACCGCGGCCGCGTCGGTCGCGCCAAATTAGCTGGCCGTTGCGCACGTGCTTGAGTTCGCGCGGCCGCAGAGATGCACCAGCCAAAGCCAAGCATGCATTTCAATTGCCACCGCATGGGTTTTGCAAACCAAGTGAGGGGTGAGTGGATGGGATGATTGCAATCGCATTTATGTCAAACTAAAACTCATGATAAAATATTTAAGTATATATCACCAACTTGCGCCACATAGCTTGCGCCCCATATATGTTCTTTTCCAACAGAAGTCAATGACCCCCCCCTTGGGATTAGCGTTACTGTCTGGGACCCTGCAATCTACATCTGATTCTGGCCCATTGTTCATATTGAATATGAATTCGTACCATCCCAAAGAGTACCATTAGCGACCCCCTTTTTTTTCACCCGTGTCAAATAATACGATGAAAACAAAATCGTTTATCAAACAAACATCGTGCACTTCCACTAACCCCTTGCGATATATTGAAAAAAATCAGCTTTGCGACATGTCTATGGCGCGCACTCTTGTGCATTCTCAAAGGAACCATCGGTGTCAACATTATCGTGAGTTTGCTCATGCGAGTTGTTGGAGCTACTATATGTGTTTGTCTATTCAAACATATCTGAAGCAAATGCGACCAACGGGCCTCTTCCGCGCGCGTGCGGCAAAATCATTCGCACGCCCTTGCGCGCTTGCTGGTGGGGCAACATCCGTGTCGTCAAATGGTACTACGCGGGGCGCTCGCGCGTGGGGGCTGCGCGGGCATGTCGAAATCCTTCCCGAATCTTCATCGCCGACACGTGGATGCCATGACTGTCATCGGCGTGATCAGCATCAGCGCCGTCATTGGCTATCGGTTCACATCGGTGCACCTCCACTTATCCGGCCAAAACCCCGCAAGTCGACAGGACAAAAAGTCGTCGAGCCCTGAAAGGCAGCCGTCGTCATCGTCATTATCGCCACCAGCACCGCTACTGCCGTGGTCGACGTCGCCAAAATGCCGCGCCCGCCTGGGTCACCGACTCGCGCTGAAGTGCCCTGGCGTGCGCGCGGCCTGCGAGATGCGCTGGCAAATCCTCAGCGGTCAGCGCCGCCGCGGCCGCGTCGGTCCCGCCAGACTAGACAGTCGCTCTGCGCGCGAGCCTCCATGCGATCACGCGGTCGCACGATGCGCCAGCCAGGGTCACGCGGCCGCGACAATCGACGCCGCGTCTACTTTGCTGACCCAGCTGCACGCGGGTGGGTGGGATGATTTCGCGAGTAGCGGAATAGACAGCTCACGAGCGACCATTCGTTCACTCTCTTCTCCTATCCCCCCGGTGTTATCGGTCGGGCCTGGGGATGTGCAATTTACAAATGATTCCCCACCGTCCCTTTTGGGGATGGTTTCGTGCCGTCCCAGCCAAGCCGGCCAGCCCCCTCAGTCACCCTCGTTCAATAACTTCAAGCGCGCGCTCGTTTATCGCAATCAAATGTCAAGCAACCTGTGCAAGCAATGACAAAGTTCACGCGCGCCCGTCATCGCGCGCGGATGCCGCGCTCCTTCGCGAACCTCGGTATCGTAGGGCATTCGAGAACGAATGTCCCGACACTATGCAAAATTATTAACATGGTTTTGCGACATGATGGCAGAAGAAACCTGCGCGAGCGCTTTTGCGAGTTCTGACGGCAAATATTTGATTTCGACGTTTCCATCGCATGCGTCCAAGCGGGCCTCTCACGCCAGGCGGGCCATTCGCGCGCGTCGGTCGCGCGCGCGTGAAGACATCCGTCCAAAACCTTCATCGCCGACGCGTGGGCGCCATCGCTGTCACCGGCGTGGTCAGCATCGGCGCCGTCCTTGGCCTTGACGTCGTCCTCATCATCATTGTCACCAGCGTCGCCACTATCGCCCCCGTGTCTGCCGCTGCCGACCTCGCTATCGTGCCGCGCCCGCCCCAGGTACCAGCTGGCACTGAAGTGCCCGCGCGTCAGCGCGGTCTGCGAGACGTGCTGGGGGCCCCCCAGCAGTCAGCGTTACCGTGGCCGCGTCGGTCGCGCCAGACTGGCTGGCCGCTCTGCGCGCGAGCTTGCGCGTGCAGGCGCGGCCGCAGCGGTGCGCCTGCCAGCGCTAAGCATTCGTCGCAATCGCAGCCGCATCGGTTTTGCATGCCAAATTGCGGGTGGGTGGGCGGGGTGATTGCGCGAGCATTGGAGTTGGCAGCTTCAAGTTCGCCAGGGTGGGTTCCGATTGGGAAAATATTTTGATATACCTCCTCCCCAAGACTTGACCTATCAGCTTTTCGTATTGCAAAATGCACATGGGTTCACCCCGCCATCGTCCATTCTAAATGTGCATTCGAACCGTTCCAGGCAGGTGCTCGTCGCCCCCCCTCCCCTCAATCTCGGCGCAAGAGGTATTCGCGCTCGCTCGATTATCAAAGACTACTCGATTCTCATAGTTCTTTGCGCACGTAGGACGAAGTGCACGCGCGCGCGTCGTCGCGCGCGCATGCCATAGTCATTCAGCAACCTATGGTTTTGGTCGGGTCTCGAAACCGGTCGTCCCGAACACATGATCACAATGGTGTCGCATCGTGGTTTTCATACAAAAACACGTGCTGGCGCGCTTGCGCATTCTTAAGGAACCATGTGTTATCGGCACTCCCACCACGTGGTACCAAACGTGCATCTCGCAAGCGCATGTCGGAATCATTCGAACACCCTTGCACGTGCTTGGGGGGGGGGGGGGGGCGCGATCCCTGTCAAGTGATGTCACGCGGGTCGCGCGCGCGCGTGTCGAGCTTCTTCCAGCGCCTTCATCGCCGACGCGAAGACACCGTCAGCGCCATCGGCGTGGCCAGCATCGGTGCCGTCATTGGCCTTGCCGTCGCCATCGTCATCATCGTCGCCATCATCGGTGCTAGCATCATCGTGTTTACCGCTGTCGACGTCGCCAAGATACCGCGCCCGCTCAAGGCCCCAACTCGCACTGAAGTGCCGGCTGGGAAGTCCCCAGCGGTCAGCGCCATTGCGGCCGCGTCGGCTGCGCCGAACTAGCCGGCCGCTCCGCGCGCACGCATGCGCGGGCTAGCGTGGTTGCAGAGATGCATCAGCAAACGCCAAGCACTCATCGCAATCGCCGCCGCATCGGTTGTGCAAGTTAAGTTGCGGGTGGGTGGGTGGGCGGAGGTGTGTGTTTGCGCGAGCAATGGAATTGACGATTCCATATGTTCGCAAATCGGTTGCACCACGCTGATTCTCCTTTCGACTCTAAGAATATACTTTTCTCCCCTCCCAAGGCTGGACTCGGCGGTGCCCCATGGGGCACGGCAGTGTACGTGTGATTGTGCACCGTCGTTCTCTCTAGAAATGTGTTCATGCCCTCGCAGCCAAGCTGGTGTCGACGCCCCCCTCATCCCGATCAAAGAACTCTGTGAGCGTACACGCGTTTATCACATATCGTACGCTTCCAACGATTCCTTGTACCTAATGAAAGAGAGTCCGCACGCGCGCGTCGTCGCGGGCGCAGGCCGACATTCTTTATGCACCTTCGGTTTGGTAAGGAATTTTTTAATCGAGCCCCCCGAAACAAAGAATTATCCAATGATATTGCGTTCCATCTTTTCAAATTACAAGCTGCGCGCGCTCCTGTGAAATGCTATGACGTCCGTGCGTTTTTGGAGCATTCTCATGACATGCGACCAACGGGGCCTCTCGTGCGGGGACGTCGAAATCATTGGGGCACCCTTGCGCGCGTGCCGCAGCGGAAAGCTCAACGTGAAAATTCGGGTGCACCTTGTGGGGATCCCTTTGTACCGGTTTAGTATATGGTGTTCTGTACGTGGTGTCGTGCATGCGCTGCGCACGCGATTTGTATGCGTTGCGCGCACGTTATGCACAATTGTTTATGTTTGTTGTATACAGTTCGGGGGCGTGTCGTATGTGGGGTGTGCGCGTGATGCATCTGTTTTGCGTACGTTGTGTGTACGTTATGTATACATCGTGTGGGCGTTTTTGGAAGTATAAGCTGTGTATACGTTTGATTACGTTTCGTATGCTTCCATATTTTTGCGAATGCCTGTCGTGCAAAGGTTGTGCACAACTTGTTTAGGTTTCGTGCACGTCTTGGATGCGTTTTGTACCCTTCTGATATTCGTGATCGTGACGTATGCTGTGCGAAATATGTGGTTGATCGGGCTGGCATACGTTTCGTACAAGTGGGATTAGGTTCCGTATACGGTGTGTTTCCTTTTTTTGTTTCTCTTTTTTCTCTTCCTATACGTACTGTCTACGTTTCCTTATGTTTCGCACACGTTGCGCATGCGTTTCGTTAGACGTGCTGTAGACGTTCGCATGAATTGTCATAATTTGCGTATGCGTTCCGCATACGTGCTGTGCACGCTTCGCATCTATTCAATTATGTTTCGAACTTGTCTGCCTATACATTAGAACTACGCGTCGCATGAATTTCATGTACTGTTCATC